TGCAGACGTGGTTCACTGTTAAGCGTGGTGTGTGTGAATCCGTGTTGTGTGTGCTGTTCTTCATTCTTCTGGCCTCTGGTTCTGCAGTGAGTGGTTATTCTCTCCGTGTGGAGGTCCAGCTGATGTGGAGGGCTGCTCATCATCGCCTGCTTTGCTGCTTCAGAAGCTCGTCATCTTTTGTCAGACAGTCTGCTGGGTGTACAGCCGCTGCATTAAGCCTGAGAGTTATCTGCGGGAATCAGATCAGAGTGACTCTACTGAACAAGTAGACCTCCTCCTCCTCCTCCTCCTCCTCCTCATCATCATCATCATCTTCATCATCTTCATCATCATCATCATGTACGCAAGTGCACACCTCAGGCCCCCCTTAACGTAACTGGTGCTGGCGCCCCCACAGTTTGAAAACCCCTGTCTTATTGAGTGTGTGTGTGTGTGTCTCTATCTCTGAGTGTGTGTGTGTGTGTGTGTGTGTGTGTGTGTGTGTGTGTACCTCCTGCAGTGTGTGTTTGCGGACGGTTTCAGCTTAGCTCTTCTCTGACTAGACGAAACACACTTCAGCCAATCTGCAGACGCTCGCGTACACACACTCCAGTCTGATCTGTGGACACACACACTCATCCTCTGAGCTGCGAAAGTGTGTGCGTGTTTCTGTGTGTCCTGTCTCTTGAGTGTGTATGTGTGAGCATGAGTGTCTGTATGTGTGTGTTACTCTGAGTGTGTGTGCAGAGATAGCAGCGTGTCTGGTTATTCTCTAATGTGTGTGTGTCCACACAAGCTCCTGCTGCGCTGCGTATCAGAGACTATATTTACCCTGACATGGACACACACACACACACACACACACACACACACACACACACACACACACTCACTCTTCAGTCTTCAGTGTCTGATCTCTGGTCCGGGTCTGATCATCTGTAATGCTGCTTGTGACTCCTCAGCCAATTAGCAGAAGGGGGCGTGTCATAACTGTCGTGGGAATATGACAGGCGTTATGAAGCGTTATGAGCTCTGTAGAGGAGCAGTGCTGACTACAGCCTGACCACCAGCACTGCAGCGCACGCGAGTGTGTGTGTGTGTGTGTGTCTAGTGTGTGTGTTCTGCACAGATAAGAGCTCTACAGGAAGTCATCACACATGAAGATTTCCTGAACACAGCACTCATGCAGGAGCAGGAAGAGGAAACACACACAAACACACACATTACTGGCAGAAGCAGGACACATTAAGTGTGTGTGTGTGTATGAGAGAGAGATTGTAAATGTGTGTGTAAATTTATATTCGTGTGTGTGTGTGTGTGTGTGTGTGTGTGTGTGTGTGTGTGTGTGTGTGTGTGTGTGTGTCTCTACACTCCCTGACAGAAGTCTTGTGTTGGATCTCGGCTGTGAGAGCAGCAGATAGTATCTGGTCTTCTAGTTGATGATGTGTAAAAGTGTCAGAAGGTGGATTTCTCTGCTGGATCATCTGTTGATCTTCATCCCAATCATCACCAACACTGCTGAAGACCTACTGGAACCAGCATGGACCAAGATTCTGATAGAATCAGTCAAGTTTGGTAAAGGAGAGATCATGGTTTGGGGTTTATTCAGTATGGGGGCGTGGGAGAGATCTGCAACATCAACAGCCTGAGGTATCAAGACATCTGTGCTGCCCATTACATTACAAACCACAGAAAAAAAGAGTGCTCCAGGATTGGCCAGCCCAGTCACCAGATATGAACATTATTGAGCTGATGAAGGAGGAGGTGTTGAAGATGAACACAGAGACTCTTGGTGAACTCTGGGATCCTGCTGAAGGCTTTCTTCTTCATTCCAGATGACTTTATTAATCAGTGATGTGAGTCATGTCAGAGATGTATGGATGCAGTCCTCCAAGCTCATGATGGAGTCAGACACAATATTCATTCTGTCTCCACTGCAGCAGGACTTTATATTCTATACTGGACATTATTTCTGTTCAGTGATGACACTTTAGTCTGAGCAGAGTCAGACCGCACTGTCCTCATCAAATCAGTCAACATCAAGACATGATCAGATTTATTGAGCTCAAATCAGCAAAATCTAGAGGCCTTCACCTTTCATAGAGACACTTCTGACACCAGATCAGCAACTAGAAGAGCAGATATTATCTGTGTTCATACAACTAGGATAGGCCACAAGACTTCTGTCAGGTAGTGTATGTGTGCGTGTGCGTGTACATGTGTGTGTGTGTGTGTGTGTGTGTGTGTGTGATCCCTGTAAGGTAAGTGTTCTGCTGAAACAGTCTCTCTCTCTCTCTCTCTCTCTCTCTCCCTCTCTCTCTCTCTCTCTCCCTCTCTCCGCTCAGAGAGTGTTGGTTTCTTCATTAGTGACCCTTTAAGAAGGTGACGCTCCTCCTAATGAGCTGATTGTAGCCAGAGAAGCTTTAGAGGATTCCAGTGACATTCCCAGCGGTGTTACGACCGACAGCGCTGTGTTTTCATAGCAGCGGGGGAGTGTGTGTGCGTGAGTGAGTGAGTGTGAAGAGTTTGTGTGTGTGTGTGTGTGTGTCTCATCCTCCTCAATGATACTCGGATGATCATGTAACACAAATGAGCCCTCAAACACCAGGAGACCCCATAAACACACAAAACACCTTCACACCACCGTGAGCTGCACAGCCGTGTGTGTGTGTGTGTGTGTGTGTGTGCACGCTCGCTCTCTGTGGTCATTCAGGGCTTTCTGCGACTGCTCATCAAACGCCTGATATTTGCAAACATCTCAGCTTTTGTCGAATTCAGGTACAATGAGACACACACACACACACACACACACACACACACACACACACAGAAGCACATTGAAACGCAAACACACTGAAACACACACACTAAAACGCAAAACCACAAACACAAGGAAAAATACACTGAAGCACACTGAAACACACACACACACACACACACACACACTGAGCTGGTCTCCATGTGGAGCACTGTGCGGTGTTGAGTGTGGGTCAGTAATGTCGGTGTGCTGCTGATGAACAGATCTCTGCTGTTGATGACTTCATTAATGTTTGTGCGCGCCTCATCCATCAAACAGCAGCAGTGAAGAGTGTGTGTGTGTGTGTGTGTGTCTAAATGCTTCAGGACTCTGCAAGTGAGCTGTTGTTTGTGTGTTTGCTCTGTGATGTCCGTGTTGGTGTGTGTGTGAGTGTGTTTGTCTTTAAGTGGGGTTCATAGGGCACGTTTCATTAACTCTGAGCGCAGCGGCGGCGGGAAGGTAAATAAATACTAGCGAGTGAGCGAACGCTAATGTAGCGCTCTGATAAAGGCCTGCTGTAATCCGGGTCGGCTGACTGACTGACCTCCTGCTGCAATGAGTTCCACAGATGCTGATCCACACACACACACACACACACACACACACCAACTGTTTATTCAAAACCAGCAGAGAAAAAACACTAACACATCCTGCACTCAAGAGGAGGAAGAGGAGGATGAGGAAAAAAGAGGATAAAGATGAGGAAGAGGAGGAGGAAGAGGATGAAGATGAGGAAGAGGAGGAGGAGGAAGAGGATGAAGATGATAATAGTTACAATGATGATGATGACAGTGACAGTTGTTGATGATGACACGATGAAGAGGATGATTATGATGATGATGATGATGATGATTATGACGGTGATGATGATGATGGTGGTGATGATGATGGTGATGATAGTGATGATGATGATGATGATGGTAATGATGAGGGTGTAGTTGATGATGATGAAGATGATGATGGTGATGATGAAGATGATAGTGATGATGATGATAATGGTGATGATGGTGACGGTGATGATGGTGATGATGAAGATGATGATGATGATGGTGACGGTGATGATGGTGAAGATGATGATGATGATGATGGTGATGATGGTGATGATGAAGATTTTGATGATGGTGACGGTGATGATGATGGTGATGATGATGATGGTGACGATGAAGATGATGATGATGGTGATGATGATAATGATGGTGACGGTGATGATGATGGTGACGGTGATGATGATGATGATGGTGACGATGATGATGATGGTGATGATGATAATGGTGATGGTTATGATGATGATGATGATGATGATGAAGGTGATGATAATGATGATGGTGATGATGATGATGATGATGAGGATGATTGATAATGAAGATTGTGGTGATGATGATGGTGATGATGACGATTGTGGTGATGATGAAGATTGTGGTGATGATGATGATGGTGATGATGATGATGGTGATGATGATTTTAATGATGAAGATTGTGGTGATGATGATGATGATGGTGACGATGAAGATGATGATGATGGTGATGATGATGGTGATGATGATAATGGTGATGGTTATGATGATGATGATGGTGATGATGATGAAGGTGATGATGATGATGATGGTGATGATGATAATGGTAAAGGTTATGATGATGATGATGATGAAGGTGATGATAATGATGATGGTGGTGATGGTGATGATGAAGATTGTGGTGATGATGATGGTGATGATGAAGATTGTGGTGATGATGATGGTGATGATGATGGTGATGATGAAGATTGTGGTGATGATGATGGTGATGATGATGAAGATGATGGTGATGATGATGATGATGATGATGGTGATGATGATGATGATGATGGTGATGATGATGATGATGATGATGATGATGATGGTGATGATGAAGATTGTGGTGATGATGATGGTGATGATGATGATGATGATGGTGATGATGAAGATTGTGGTGATGATGATGGTAGCCTTGACTGTTCAGTGTTGAGGTTAGGTGTGTGGGTTAAAAGATACTACAGCATTTCTTGCTGGTCTGTGTGTGTGTGTGTATGTGTGTGTGTGTGTGTGTGTGTGTGTGTGTGTGTGTGTGTTTGCATCTGATAAGGCGTGAGATGCAGAAATTGTGCAAGTGTGAGTGTGTGTCTCTGTGTATGTGTGTGTGTGTGTTTCTGTATGGTGTGTAGTGAGGGATTCTGGGATGCCGTGCTGATGAGTGTGTTGTGTTTCAG